TCACACCTTAATCACACCCCAACAACACCCCATTCACAACCTAATCACACCTCATTCACACCCTAATCACACCCCAATCACACTCATTCCACACCCCTATAACACCCCATTCACACCCTATTAACACCCCATTCACACCGCTATCACACTGTAATCACACCCCATTCATACCCCAATCACACCCCATTCACGCCCCTATCATACCCTATTCACATCCCAATCACACCCTAATCACAAGTTAATCACAAACCCAATCACACCTCATTCACACCCCATTCACGCCCTATTCACATCGCTATCACGCCCCATTCAAAYCCCAATCACACCCTATTCCCACCCCATTCACAGCCCACTCACACCCCAATCACAAGCCATTCACACCTTAATCACACCATCTTTTCACCCCAATCACACCCTTTTCACACCCCTATCACACCCCATTTACACCCCTATCACACCCCATTCACAACCCAATCACACCCCATTCACACGCCAATCACACTCTATTCCCACCCAATCACACCTAATTCACACCCCTACCACACCTTAACCACACCCCATTCACACCCTATTTACACCCCTATCACACCCCATTCACACCCGAATCACACCCCATTCCCACCCCTATCACACCCCATTCATACGCGAATCACACCCTATTCATACCCCTATCACACCTTAATCACACCCATTCACACCCTAATCACACCCCTATCTACACCCCAATCACACCCTACTCACACCCCAATCACACCTTAATCACATCCCTATCACAACTAAATCACACCCTATTTACACCCCAATCACACGATATTCACACCCCATTCACACCTTAATCACATCCCTGTCACACCTTAATCACACCCCTATGCACACCCCAATCACACCCCATTCACACCCCAAACAAACCCCTATCATATCCCATTCACACCCCTATCTACACCCCAATCACACTATATTCACACCCCATTCCCACCCCATTCACACCTTAATTACACCCATTCACACCCCTATCCCACCCCATTCA